TGACATTAATCTCATTCCAGATCTCCGATTTGCCTGGTTTTTGTTTGTTTTTTTTGCTCTCCTCACCTCAGGTCTTCCTGTTCTTCAAACCAAGGCGGTGTAGTCCGTTCTGATGCTCCCAAAGAAATTAAGCGACTAAATGAAATCTGAGCCGTCCAACTATTCTGAGGAGGGAGCTGAGAGCAAAAAGGTTCATGACGGTGAATAATATCTAAAAGGGTCCAGCTTTGTTTGGTCAAGACAGGAAGACATTAAATAACTGGAGAGATGTCAACAGGAAGAGGGCAAAGGGGTATTTGGAGTGACAGGAACAGGTGACATCAAACCACCCAGGGATGCAAAAGGAGGGTTATTTTAAAAGGAACAAGCTCAGGTCCCAGGTTTTGAAGGCCTCATAAATTAACTTCTATGCTTCTAAAATTATAAACTCTGTTATCGGGGTTAAGTAACATGGAGTTTCTCAGAGTAAGACTAATCCCTCCAAATAGGGATACAATACAAGGTTCTGCTAACTGATAGTACATTCCTCAAGCTTTCTATTAAACTAGGATCTAGTCTTTATAATTTCATTCTGAGCAACAGACAGCTCCAAATCCTGACAGAGAATTGGGGATGAAGGTTTATCGAAATTGTCTGAAATTTGCAAGGTTACTAATATTCCTTCTTTACACAGAATTCTCCAAAGTCATCAGTTGGAAAGTCAAACCCAGTTTGTATTCTTGGTACTTTCTCTTGGAGAATGCCTTGTGGTATAAATTGTGGGTTGTCTATTTTTAATTTTTGCTTCGTTGCACAGAGTGAGATGTTCAGACTTCGGATTGGAACTATCATACTTATATGATATTTATTAACATGGATTTTTCTTTTTTCTTTTTTTAACAAATTTTATTAATTTTTAAAGACATACAAAACATAAACACACAGAAACACAAAACGTAGAAACATAAAAAAAACCTCTTTTCTGAAAGTTGCTTAGTCCCGGGTTAAAACTCTTGGTACAGACACAAATTCAAATTCATATTCATTTTACATACCATTCCATGTCTTATTAGCATTTTCAATTTTCTATATAGCTTCTCCTTTCTTTTAAATTTTCTTAATTTTATTTTATTTATCTCCTCTCAATTCGAATCATAATATTTATTATTCTTTGTCTGTTCTATTTCCAGCTATCCATTTATCTCTCTTCTTTGAAGAAAACTTCTCCTGTACACTAATTGGAGTATGATGCCTTTATCTCTTTCCCCTATATTTATAATACTTAATATAGAATACATAGCTTACATTGGGATTCTGTCTGGTACATTCTAAAATTATACAATATTATCAATACCAATACAAATCTATTCATTAATATTAATATTCATTTATACCTTAAACATTTAGCACATTACTTTTCAGTTAAATCACATACTTTTATGGGAGCACCTATTTTCCATAGTTATTTTAACATGGATTTTTCATGTTTTGTATCTGTAGGGTTTTTTAAAATATTGCTGCTGTTTTATCCCACTGTGATAACTTTAAAAAGACAACCCATAATTTTATCCCAATTTTATCTCCCATCAGGAATCGCTAGTGGTGAGATAGATGGCTACATAAAATTGATAAAGGTTATCAAAGGTTAATTTGATCTAAAGGTTAGTGAAGCTCTAGAAAGCCAGCTTGGTATAGCGGCTAAGGTATCAAGCAAAGGTATCAGGCTAAGGTATCAAAAACTGCAGAGAAAAGCAACCAGGATGATTAGGGGACTGGAGACTAAAAGATATGAAGAACGGTTACAGGAACATGGCTAGTCTAGTGAAGAGAAGGACCAGGGGAGACATGATAGCAGTCTTCCAATATTTGAGGGGCTGCCACAGGGAGGAAGGGGTCAAGGTATTTTATAAAGCACCCGAAGGCCAGACAAGGAATAATGGATGGAAACTGAACAAGGAGAGATTTAACTCGGAAATAAGGAGAAACTTTCTGACAGTGAGAACTATCAACCAATGGAGCAGCTTGCTCTCGGACGTTGTAGGAGCGTCATCACTTGAGACTTTCAAGAAGAGATTGAACTCCCCTCTGTCAGAAATGGTGTAGGGTCTCCTGCTTGGGCGGTGGGGTTGGACTAGATGACCTACAAGGTCCCTTCTAACTCTGATTATCTGTTAATCTGTTAAAAGCTAGAAACTGGGAGAGTTGTGTTCTGGTCCTGCTTTGGGCACAAAGCCAGCTGGGTGACCTTGGGCCAGTCACTTTCTCTCAGCCCTTGGAAAGAGACAATGGCAAACCACTTCAGAAAAACCTTGCCAAAGAAATTGTAGGGATTTGTTCAGGCAGCTTCTGAGATAAGTTTGGTCAGAAGGAAAAATAAATGAGCACCCAATTCACCATATTAGCATACTTGGTAACTTGATATAGTCTCTCACATATTAACCTTTTATGCTCTCTACAGCCATCTGATGTTCTTACCCCTTCTTTCCAATCCTTGCTTTTTATATATACTTTTAGTTTTTAATTCATCTTTTTTTAGATTTTTATTTTTATTCTTGATATATCCTTTATGCATTTTAATGGCTGCACCCATTTTTCCTTCTGCTGGTTTATGATTGTGATAAAGAGTTGGTCCTTTTCAGATTCATTTTTACCATACATATAATTTGTTGTTCTGTTAATTGACATCTGATCAGAAAGAGGGGGATGAGGATTACAAACATCCCATGCATCAAAAGCAAGGAGAGACTCACAAGCTGCTGAAAAAGGAAGAAATTGAATCCAACATTTGAGGCAATTTATATTTTTTTCTGCTTTTTGGGGTATTTCAAAAGATTCCAAACTAAAAGTCTGTACAGATTCTCAGTCATCCAAGTCATGGTTGTCCCAAAGGTGCTTTTTCAGGAGGCAACTGGACTTTCTTGTTTTTTTCTTTGAAGACCTTTCGCTTCTCATTCAAGAAGCTTTTTCAGCTCTGAAGAGTTGAAGAAGCTTCTTGGATGAGAAGCGAAACATCTTCAAAGAAAAAAACAACAAGGAAATCCGGTTGCCTCCTGAAAAAGCACCTTTGGGATTCCAAACTAAGTTAACCAGAAGAAGTCCATTTCACAACTAGCCACGGAATGTTAGCCTTTGCAAAGAAGCCAGATTTAAAACAAAACAAAACACAGCCAATGAGCTAATTCTATTTTATTGCAAGGTTACATTAATAGAATCTTGCAAGTCTGAAAATACATTCAGAATATAATGCAATCTATTTTTAACAGAAACTTGCAAGTATATATTCCTCTCCTTTCACCCGTCTCCTTTACAGCCCAAAAACCTAGGAGCTGCTTGCCCTGCACACGCCCTGCTGCTGGCTAAATTGCTTTTTATCTGACATTTCCTGAGTTGTGTCTCTTCTCCCCGTATCCCAAGGTCGATCCCACAAACCATTGCACCAAATAATATCAAGGCTTACTGATCAAAGAGACGAGAGACGATTGTGTAATGGCTCCAGACTTCTGTGGTTACCCAAGTTGGCAGCACTTATCCTGACCCAGTTCATTTCTGGCCCAGCTATGATATTTCTGAAGCTATAGCCAAGCTAGGAATTCCTTTTGCATCACTTTGAAATCCTGCGTTTGTATGTTCTTTTCCCCCCCAAGATAATGAATTCTTGCCTCTGTCCCAGCTTAGGAGTTCAAGCAAAACTTTGTTCTTTCCTTCAGCCCAGATTTGTTATTGCTCAAACTTCCCAGCCAAACATCCACTGGTGGTTTTGATGCCAGCTGATCCCCGTCCAAGAGAAGGAGGGAAAAGGCAGATATCTCAACTATTTCATCCTTGCTGTTTTTGCCAGGGCTATTCTGTGTCTAGGAAGAGTTATGAGGGTCTATATAGAGAATCAAAACAGGCTGGGTCAACCTTGCTTGAATTTTAAATTTAGCTAAACCTAATCTTAAAATCTAGCTCTGATTTATCTTAATGCAGAAAATTGGGTTCTTCTTGTGGGTGTGGAGGCATAAACAGATATTGGTGCAGCGTGGCAGAGGTGCAGCCTCAGAAATATGATTTGCAGTATGAGGGTTTTTTTTTAATTTTTATTATAACAACCAACTTTAAAGTATTAAAGTACATTTAAATGAGAACACAGGAAGTCTGCATACAGTGAAACAGTAATACAGTAGACAAATGAAAAATACCATGCAGATTTAAGAACAAAGAATACCATGAGCAGGGATAAAACTGGTGCAAGCAAGCTTAAGAATATTACTTTCATAAACTGTATATAAGTAGGAAGAATCCTAGAGAAATACTTTAATCTTATATGTCCAAAGAAATATTTTAATTCAAATTTGTCAAGGGTGTCTGGTTTTTTATACGCATCACCCACAAAAACACATGCGATCAAAGTCTTCTTTTAATGTGTGAAAAACACACAAATGGGGTGGAGCTTAGATTATTGTGGCCACCATATTAATTTTTTTTAACCTTCTTCCCTGCAGACTTCCTGCTGATGGGTTGAACAAGTTATAATCTCACATTTCTAAATATAATTTCTAAATATAATTTCTAAAGCTACGAAGAAATTGGGAAGGAATAATATCTAAAATACTCACTGGATGTGGGAGGAGAGAACTGAATAACCATTCTGTCTCCTCAGTGGGCAAAAAAAAAAAAAAAAAAGCAATGAGCAAGGCAGTTCTACATTTTAAAAAATGGTTAAATTAGCCTAAGGCATAAGAAAATATGAAAGAGCCATCCCATGAAAATTAATAGTGCAGTACATTGGTCTAAAAAAAAGCCGTATATATCATCTCTAGTGTTATGTAACCTAAGATGTAGGCAGAGATTCTCACATACTGGTTGTTCAGTAGAGTCTTGGGGAAATCAGTCATGGCCAGTGGTGGGATTCAAAATTCAAATTTTTTTTACTACCGGTTTTGTGGGCATGGCTTGGTGGGCGTGACAGGGGAAGGATACTGTAAAATCTCCAGTCAGAGGTGGGATTTGCCGGTTCTCTGAACTACTCAAAATTTCCGCTACCGGTTCTCCAGAACTGGTCAGAACCTACTGAATACCACCTCTGGTCACGGCCACCCAAATCTAAAGCTCCTACATTGAAGCTGGGCCTCCATGCTTCTAACAAGGGAATAAAACATCTGATTAAGAGGAACCAAGGAGAATGCATGGTAGGAGATGGCCCATCTGCTTAGGACTTCACCAAGGTTCATTAAAAAATTCCCAGGGGTCTCCGTAAAGAGGCACCTCACTATACCTTCCCCACACCAGGTCAGCTGCCAGCTCTTCAAAGTCTATGGCTGGCAGCTTGAGCAGCCCTCCCTTAACCCAGAACCAAGGGTAGATATTTTCTCCAGAAAAGTTTGCTGGAGGGAAGGTAAAGATCCAACCATTGGTCCCAGCATTGAAAAACGACACCTGCCCTGCGGTGTAATCTAGCTGTACCCGGATCTTTCGGAGAGGCTCGGACAGATCCAAAGGAGCAACTCCAGAATTGGTATATGCCATGTATTTTTTCTGCTCATCTAAACCCAGTCCCCAAATGCCATTTTCGGGAGCAAATTTTATTAAGTGCTTTCTCTCCACCGACTCTTTGGCGACTCCCACAGCCCAGATCTTCCCTTCTTCCACGTTTATTTCCCAATAGATTCTCCCTGAGGCGAACCCTTCGCTTCCAAGCACGCAGGCATCTTTTTCGAACCTCATCCAGTGGTAAGGGGTTTTTTCCTTCAATTCTCCATTCCACTTGACAGTTATCTGGTCACTTGAAAGAACCAGCATGTGGCTCAGGGTGTCCCGATCGAAAAACACATTTGCTGGAAGAGACAAGGATCGTGTTAGGCTGCACAAAGTAACCTTCCCTTCAGGTTCTATGCCCACCCTGCAGATGGGTTAGAGCAGCATCGTTCAGAATTGCCAGCTGGCACATTGCTGGCAATTTTGGATGACAAGAAACCAGGCTAAAGAGAAGGCAGGAGCACATTTCTGCCTCACTGCACCTCATGGGAGGCACACATCTGTCATTCAAAGACAGTTGCATAGCTGTTCCTTTATTACCTCAGCGGATTTTAATGTTCTGGCTTGGGAGAAGTTCGGGAAGTTGGATCGACCAATCAGCACACAGGACACGTTCCTCCGCAGAATGCACAGTTGGGATTTGGGAAGTGTGTGTGTGTGTGTGTGTGTGTGTGTGTGT